CTTTTTGCAACTTCCAGGGGCGAACACATTCAGGGGCGGCCAATATGTAGTAATCCCCCTTACGCCCCCCCCCCCCCCCTAAACCTGGTTAAACCTACCCCCACCTGTTTACCCATACTCTATGATTACCTATCCGTGTGGGGATGTTTAGTCTTTAGTGAGGGTGTGGTGAAGGCGTGGGTAGGGGGTGGTTTGGATTTAAACGCTGGTTTGGCGAACAAAACATAATTCAAATAAAAACGAAAATATGTGAATTTTTAAACAATTTTATAAACGCGATTGAAGTTACAAAAAATTGAAATTCAGCGAGAGAACAGAATAACTAACTTAAGTTTAACATTATTATAAAAAAGGAAGCAGCAAACAGAAAGATTTTAATAAATGGATTATAATCCATTAAAATCGATTAAAATTGATTATTTTTTTGAGAAAAGTTTTTGAAAATAAGTTTAAAATAATCGATTATAATCGAAAACAACTGATTATATTGGGATTTTACTGTTTGAAACATAGAATTATTTTAATCCATTTTAAATCGATTATAATCGATTAGTTCTGTTATTTCATAGAGACTGACAAGGAAAATCCAATATAATCGATTATTATCCATGAAACTTCAGTCCGGGGACCCTACCCGTCGAAGTCCGCGACTTTAATTCAGACATTAAAAGTCAAACCGATGATAACAACTCGACCAGGTACTCTTATTCGAGACGGATTTTTTTAAGTCTGATTATAACAAATTTCACCCAGGATGGTCTAAAATTTAGTCGTGCTAGTCTAAAAACGAGTCGCAGTATAGTCTGAAACTAAGTTGAGAAAGTCTGTACATAAATTCACGACAGTAGGATATATGTCGCAAAAATGAAAGCTACTATGAACTCAAATAAGAGTCCGAGAAAAAATGGTGAAAATATTTGGAAGTTACAGATTACTAGTTTTGAGGTTTTCGCAATTAATGAGCTTAAATTTTCATAAGAAGAAAACAAAATAACTGAGGTTTTGAGAAAAAATATTTTGAAACACTTATTGCTTAACTACATAACAAAAACCGCTTAATGGTTAGCATAACAAGAGTTGCATAATTAATTAGTCGCGAAGATCTGGATATTTTTAAAATTGGTAGTATATCATCACAATTGTATCACAACCTCTACTCAAGCAGTTATGCACTCGTGGATACATTCAAATTTACCTAACAAAATTCCTCTTCTGAAGTTACCGTAGAATTTTTCCATATGCTTCCAAATATTTTCAGTTAGTTTGACGTATAATCTATGCCTTTCAAATTTTTCGGCAATTAAAAACAGTTTTAGATCCTTTTTCATCGTAATTCCTTTGTCTTAGCTTGATTTCTCCGCATTATTGTAATCAAATATATTATACAATTTTTTCAAATTATATTGAAAGAGTTCTGTCAAACTTAACTCTCAGAAAAGTTCAAAAGGAAGAGGTTTTTTGTGGATCCGTATTTATTTAAAAAAAAATTCAAGCCATTTGAAACACTTTAACACAGTTCGCTCCTTTTTTGTTTTTAATCCTGAACAAAAGTACGGGTGCCCTGCCACAAGTTTTGTTCTTAAACCTCAGTGATAAACGCATTAGAAATGAACTGGATGACTTTTTGTCAATATATCTGCTGTCAAATCGATAGGATTAGCAATATAGATTACTGTAGAGCTCTATGTAGTCACGACCACCAGTTCTTCAATATGATACCACACTTGACCACCTACACGCTTTTTTGGAGTAGCCTTAAGTCGGATGAAAAATCTTTACCTATCACAGTTTTTTCGCACTCCTCACTCTAAAAATGTGTCGTGCTAACACACAAAAAACCGTGTTCATTCATACTTATCATTACAAGACCAAACTGCGTATTCTTTGCATTGTAAGCGGATTCCGCAACCAGGCAAAATCAGATTTGAAGCTGAATCCGCAACATTTATACTTTTTTTTGATCTTCTTTGCTGAGTTGGATTCCACAAACAATTAGCTAAAACACGTATCGCTCGGAATCGCTCCAAAATTAGGCAATTTTGCGGAATCCGCAACCGTATTTGCTGAATCCAGAAAATCAATAATAGAATCCAAAAATCAATAATAAGATATGTGCACGGTTGAAACGAGCTGTCGCGGAATCCGCAATTGTAAGCAGGATCCGCAAAACATAAGTGGAACCTGCAAATTGTATATGGAATCCGCAATTTGTCGGAGGAATCCACATTTTGATTGCGGATTCCATTTTCAAGTATGTTATATGTAGTATAGCTTTTAAAATTATATCTTTTGTTTACTGGATGGTCACCAGAACTTCAATCTCGATTACTACATCGATTACTACAAATCCTGTCAACTTCGATCTCAAATCCTGTCAACACAATTGCGATTTCAATTCCTGTCGAACATGCCCAACCTCGATCTCAACAGCCAACTTCGATCTCAAATCCTGTCAACCCAACCTCGATCTCAATTCCTATCAAACAAACCCAACCTCGATCTCAGCACCCAACTTTGATCTCAAATCCAGCCAACACAACTTTGATCTCAATTCCTGTCAAACATACCAAACTTCGATCTCAATTCTTATCAAACGTACACTTCCTGTCAAACAACCTCAATGTCTGTCATCTCAGTTCCTGCCAACTGAAAAAGTGGCTAAACTAATTCAGCAGTCCATTTCAATCAATTCAACTAAATCAAATACGTTTGGGATTAGCATTTTTCAAATACTTTCAAATTTCGATACGAAATATAGTTTGATAATGCAACATTTTCAGGAACATATTATTGTGTTTTTGAAAATAAGGTTTGATTCAGCTGTAACTGTTCAGGATTTTTCAATTTTCATATGTAAGAGAAATCACTGAAGCAGCAATAAGTTGACTGAATTCATTCTGAGCTGTTCTGTTGTTTTTTTCCCTATGAGCAGATTTGATGGGCCGGCAAAATTTTCAGACTATAACAATTTATACTGATTACAGGAAAAAAAATACGTTAAATATTAAGTTACTGTTAAATTAGAAAGCTCAAAAAACAAACAGTCATAACAAAAACAGTAAACAGATCAAGCGGTACATATTTCAAGATGCCATCGAGATAACAGCTACCTCATAAAAAAAAAGAAACAAGTCAACACTTCTTAGGTTTTACCACTAGCCAGCATCATATTCGGACACATACAGTCAAGAAAAGCTTGCACTTTTGCCGATAAAAAATTGCAAATTTTTCAAGTACGAAAAAACTAAGTGGCCCAATGAACTAGTACTACTTAGGTTTCCTTCAAGAGCTCGTGAATCACAAACCTCTATGAGATACAGCTATCAAGTTAAAAAACTAGCATATAGCTAGAAAACTATCAAGATAACAAAAACGTAAAATGTAGGTTTCAATTGGAACGAATACCATAATAAAACACAGGCAAGCTCATGGGTAAGATTCAGGCTGACTCAGTAGCGCACACGTGTTAAAAGCATATAATTAATGGTCCAAGAAACTAAATTTTTAAGGAGTGAGATCATTTACTCAAGAATTTTCATCGCAACAATTTATACTTTCAGGAGTCTGAACTATGAATAAAAAAAATTTGGGACACTCTGAAAAAAAACCAATATCATAAAACATAAAAAATCAACCAACAAACTTTAAAGTCTGGCGTACTCTTACACGGTTTTTTCTTGATCTTAATAACTATTTGACACCAGATTTTTCTTAAAGGCAAAAAATTACCTATAGCAGTCCCCGATAATCAAAAAATTAGCTGTGTAACGTTGCTATGCTGAAAAACTGTGCCAACAGCAAAAAACACGCTAATTTTTAAGTTTTTAGCTACAAAAACAATACTTTGACGGTAAAAATCATCATTCTAGATCCCACAATTGCTTTGATTCTATATCCCACGATCGCTTTCATCATGCACTCTTGCTTTTTTTGAGCAAAACCAAACGGTTACTTAAGAGAGAACAAACTTTCCAAAGTAGACAATTATGAGATCATATGGTACTCTCCAAAAAAATCATGATTTTATAATAAAAAAGAGAGTTTTGACACAAAAACGTATTTTCGCGATCTCAATGTTACAAGTGAGCTCATAAAAAATTTGGCGAAATAGGATCACTCTATCATCCTTTTATCGACACTGTACCAATCTGTTTAATTGCTCCATTTTCAGAGATATTTCTGAATTCATCCGCTTCATTCTGCCTAATATCACGTTCAAATTTTTTGGTAGCTAACTCATATTCATTTCATCTGGTAGCTAACTCTTTAGTCAAAATAGCTACTGTTTCAATGGGTTTGAAAAAATGTCACTAAATCATTCTTTTTGAGTATATCGTTCGTTCAAAGTTATGGTTTTTCTAAGACAGGGTGGCCGAGTGTTTAAAGCGATGGACAGCTAAATTATCTCCGTGTGTTTGTTTGAACTTAAGTCTATCTAACTGTTTTCCAGCGTATACAACCTAGTTTTCGTTTCCTCATTACTTCTTTTTTCTTACTTATGCTATTTAAAATGACATTTGTTGTTATAAGTTGTTTTCTCCACAAAAAAGGTACTACTATGAAAGAGTTGTCCGTTTAATGAAACCAGATTCCTCAAGAATAGGACATTTAGAGCTCAAAAATCAATCAATAATTGTGAGTTAGCTAGTCAGAGAGCTATAGCATCATAATTTTAAACAAAAAACTGCCCTTTTCTTTTATTTTCACTTGCGACTCCTGGTTATTGGTTATTTTTTTAAATAAAATTTTTCATCAATTTAAAAATAGGAATTTGGAATGAGTTCAAAATTTTGTGATAATGTTGCTAAAACTCATCTTTTCAAAATCTTTTTAACAAAATCCCCCTACTGTGGTAACTACTAAAATCATTCCATCATTTTAAAACAAGTACAAGAGATTTTTTGCTTAAATTCCTACTTTTGCTGCTCTCTGATTGGTTGAAAAAGACTGGCTCAGAAATCTTCCCTTTCTTGAACGGGGGAAGATTGTTAAGCAAAACCTCAATTCAAGCTATTTCAATTTACATGGGTATCAACTTTAATAAAACCTTTGAAATGACTATACATAAAAGTCTAATAGGATGTTATAAAAACTCATTAATTTGGACTTTATTAGGCAAAGAGTTCGGGTAGTGTCAAGTTACGAGCGTATGAAGGGACACCACCTACCTTATACGCCAGCCAAGAATACGTAAATGTTTTATAATTTTTATGTAACAATCATGTAACAGTTACGTTTAGTCTAGGAAAATTCATTCAAATGACATAACTTTCGCCTGGTTTATACCCTGCGTGAAATAAATTTAAAACTGTTTCCATACAACATGTGCGTTTTCTGCTGGCTTATACTGCGGTTGATTTATTCACACTTGTCTTGAAGACTCTCTTAAGCTAATGAGGTGGCCACTCTTTGCATCAGGTCATCCACTCCAGTCCCTGAAAAAACTCCAGAATTGAAAATCATTAACTTAACCTTAATTCAATCACCTCGATTTGTTCACAAAGAAGTTTTAAAAAAGAATAAACTAAGCTCCGGTATTTCAGCTCACAAAATTACAATTCAGAGGGCAAAATTACTTTTTTTGAACAGAAATTAGCTGCAAGTGAGCGGAACGGCGCAAACTGTTCAATGATCATTTCTCTTGCAACAAAGTCATGAAAAATTCTTCCAGGAAACCTGTCAGGAGCAGTTCTAGGTGCTTGCGACAGAGGCAGCAGTTCTTGGTGCATATGACAGAGGAAGCAGTTCTATGTGCATGCGAGTGAGGGAGCAGTTCTATGTGCATGCGACGGGCGAAGCAGTTCTAGGTGCATGCGAGTGATGGATCAGTTCTAGGTGCATGCGAGTGATGGAGCAGTTCTAGGTGCATGCGAAAGAGGGAGCAATTCTAGGTGCATGCCAGTGATGGAGCAGTTCTAGATCAATGAGAAGGAGGGAGCAGTTCTAGGTGCATGCGAAAGAGGGAGCAGTTCTCTGTGCATGCGAGTGATGGAGCAGTTCTAGGTGCATGCGAATGAGGGAGCAGTTCTATGTGCATGCGAAGGAGGGAGCAGTTCTATGTGCATGCGAAGGATGGAGCAGTTCTAGGTGCATGCGAAGGAGGGAGCAGTTCTACGTGCATGCGACTGATGGAGCAGTTCTAGGTGCATGCGAAGGAGGGAGCAGTTCTAGGTGCATGCGAAGGAGGGAGCAGTTCTAGGTGCTTGCGAGTGATGGAGCAATTCAAGGTGCATGCGAAGAACGGAGCAGTTCTAGGTGCATGCGAAGGAGGGATCAGTTCTAGGTGCATGCGAGTGATGGAGCAGTTCAAGGTGCAAGCGAAGGAGGGAGCAGATACTGGTCCGTGCGAAGGAGGGATCAGTTCTAGGTGCATGCGAAGGAAGATCAGTTTTAGGTGCATGCGAGTGTTGGAGCAGTTCTAGGTGCATGCGAGTGGGGGAGCATTTCTAGGTGCATGTGACTGAGGAAGCAGTTCTAAGTGCATGCGAGTGAGGGAGCAGTTCTAGCTGCATGTGACTGAGGAAGCAATTCTATGTGTATGCGAGTGAGGGAGCCGTTCTTTGTGCATGCGAAGGAAGAAAAGTTCTAGGTGCATGCGAGTGGGGGAGCATTTCTAGGTGCATGTGACTGAGGAAGCAGTTCTATGTGTATGCGAGTGAGGGAGCAGTTCTTTGTGCATGCGAAGGAGGGAGCAGTTCTAGGTGCATGCGAAGGAGGGAGCAGATACAGGTGCATGCGAAGGAGGTAGCAGTTCTAGGTGCATGCGAGTGATGGAGCAGTTTTAGGTGCATGCGAGTGATGGGGGAGTTCTAGAAGCATGCGAGTGTGGGAGCATTTCTAGATGCATGTGACTGAGGAAGCAGTTCTATTTGCATTTGAGTGAGGGAGCAGTTCTAGCTGCATATGAATGAAGAAGCAGTTCTATGAGCATGCGAGTGAGGGAGCAGTTTTATGTGCGTGCGATGGAGGAAGCAGTTCTATGTGCATGCGAGTGATGAATCAGTTCTAGGTGCATACGAGTGATGGAGCAGTTCTAGGTGCATGCGAAGGAGGGAGCAGTTCTAGGTGCATGTGAGTGATGGAGCAGTTCTAGGTGCATGCTAAGGAGGGAAGCAGTTCTATGTGCATGCGAACGAGGGAGCAGTTCTATGTGCATGCGAAGGAGGGAGCAGTTTTAGGTGCATGCGAGTGATAGAGCAGTTCTAGGTGCATGCGAGTGGGGGAGTATTTCTAGGTGCATGTGACTGAGGAAGCAGTTCTAAGTGCATGCGAGTGAGGGAGCAGTTCTAGCTGCATATGACTGAGGAAGCAGTTCTATGAGCATGCGAGTGAGGGAGCAGTTTTATGTGCATGCTAAGGAGGGAGCAGTTCTATGTGCATGCGAGTGATGAATCAGTTCTAGGTGCATGCGAGTGATGGAGCAGTTCTAGGTGCATGCGAAGGAGGGAGCAGTTCTAGGTGCATGTGAGTGATGGAGAAGTTCTAGGTGTATGCGAAGGAGGGAAGCAGTTCTATGTGCATGCGAAGGAGGGAGCAGTTCTAGGTGCATGTGAGTGATGGAGCAGTTCTAGGTGCATGCTAAGGTGGGAAGCAGTTCTATGTGTATGCGAGTGAGGGAGCAGTTCTTTGTGCATGCGAAGGAGGGAGCAGTTCTAGGTGCATGCGAAAGAGGGAGCAGATACAGGTGCATGCGAAGGAGGTAGCAGTTCTAGGTGCATGTGAGTGATGGAGCAGTTTTAGGTGCATTCGAGTGATGGGGGAGTTCTAGGTGCATGCGAGTGTGGGAGCATTTCTAGATGCATGTGACTGAGGAAGCAGTTCTATGTGCATGTGAGTGAGGGAGCAGTTCTAGCTGCATATGAATGAGGAAGCAGTTCTATGAGCATGCGAGTGAGGGAGCAGTTTTATGTGCATGCGAAGGAGGGAGCAGTTCTATGTGCATGCGAGTGATGAATCAGTTCTAGGTGCATGCGAGTGATGGAGCAGTTCTAGGTGCATGCGAAGGAGGGAGCAGTTCTAGGTGCATGTGAGTGATGGAGCAGTTCTAGGTGCATGCGAAGGAGGGAAGCAGTTCCATGTGCATGCGAAGGAGGAAGCAGTTCTATGTGCATGCGAAGGAGGGAGCAGTTCTAGGAGCATGCGAAGGAGGGAGCAGTTCTAGGTGCATGCAAAAGATGGAGCAGTTTTATGTGCATTCGAAGGAGGGAGCAGTTCTATGTGCATGCGAGTGATGAATCAGTTCTAGGTGCATGCGAGTGATGGACCAGTTCTAGGTGCATGCGAAGGAGGGAGCAGTTCTAGGTGCATGCGAAGTAGGGAGCAGTTCTAGGTGCATGCGAGTGATGGAGCAGTTCTAGGTGCATGAGAAGGAGGGAGCAGTTACAGGAGCAGTTCTAGTTGTTTGCGAATCAGGGAGCAGTTCTAGATGCATGCGAAAGAGAGGGCAGTTCGAATTGCACGCGCAGAAGAGGGAGTTGCTCTAGATGCATGCTAGTGGAGGAGCAGTTCTTGGTGCTTGAGAGTGGAGTAGCTGTTCTAGATGTATGTGGGTTGTGAGCAAATCTCGGTGCATGCAAGTGGGGGAGAACCTCTAGGTATATGTGAAAGAAGTAGCAGTTCTAGGTGCAAGCCAGGGACGAGCAGTTCTAGACGCTTGCGAGTGGGGCGGGGGGAGGTGGCGGGGGAAGTCCAGGGTAATGCGAGTGAGGGAGCAGTTACAGATGAATTCGAGTGGGGAGTAATTCTAGAATCATGCGTGTGGGGTAGCAGTTCTGGGTGCTCGCGAGTAGGGGAGCAGGTCTAAATGCTTGCGGGTGAGAATCAAATCTAGGTGCAAGCGAGTGCAGGAGCAGTTCTAGGTGCTTGCAAGTGGGGAGCAATTCTAGAATCATGCGAGTGGGGCAGCATTTCTGAGTGTTCGCGAGTAGGGGAGCAGGTCTATTTGCATGCGGGTGAGAACCAAATCTAGGTGCATGCGAGTGCAGGAGCAGTTCTAAGTGATTGTGAGTGGTGAACAATTCTTGAATCATGCGACTGGAGGAGGATTTCTGATGTTCGCGAGTAGGGGAGCAGGTCTATATGCTTGCGGGTGAGAATCAAATCTAGGTGCATGCGAGTGCAGGAGCAGTTCTAGGTGCTTGCGAGTGGGGAGCAATTCTAGAATCATGCTAGTAGGGCCGCATTTCTGGGTGTTCGCGAGTAAGGGAGCAGGTCTATATGCATGCGGGTGAGCACCAAATATAGATGAATTCGAGTGCAGGAGCAGTTCTAGGTGCTTGCGAGTGGGGAGCAATTTTAGAATCATGCAAGTGGGGGATCAGTTTTGGGTGTTCGCGAGTAGGGGAGCAGGTCTACATGCATGCGGGTGAGAATCAAATCTAGGTGCATGCGAGTGCAGAAGCAGTTCTATGTGCTTGCGAGTGGGTAGCAATTCTAGAATCATGCGAGTGGGGCAGCATTTCTGGGTGTTCGCGAGTAGGGGAGCAGGTCTATATGCATGCGGGTGAGAACCAAATCTAGGTGCATGTGAGTGCAGAAGCAGTTCTCGGTGATTGCGGGTGGGGAGCAATTCTCGAATCAAGTGAGTGGGGGAGCAGTTCTGGGTGCTTGCAAGTGAGATAGCAATTCTAAATGCATGCGGGTGGGGAAAAGATCTTGGTGCAACTGAGTGGTGGAGAAATTCTAGGTGCTTGCGAGTGTCGGAGCAGTTTCAGATGCATGCGAAAGAGAGGGCAGTTCGAATTGCACGCGCAGGTGAGGGAGTTGCGCTAGATGCATGCTAGTGGGGCAGCATTTCTGGGTGTTCGCGAGTAGGGGAGCAGGTCTATATGCATGCGGGTGAGAACCAACTCTAGGTGCACGCGGGTGCCGGAGCAGTTCTAAGTGATTGCGAGTGGGGAGAAATTCTCGAATCATGCGAGTGGAGGAGGATTTCTGGGTGCTCGCGAGTAGGGGAGCAGGTCTATATGCAGGCGGGTGAGCACCAAATCTAGGTGAATTCGAGTGCAGGAGCAGTTTTAGGTGCTTGCGAGTGGGGAGCAATTCTAGAACCATGCGAGTGGGGCAGCATTTCTGGGTGTTCGCGAGTAGGGGAGCAGGTCTATATGCATGCGGGTGAGAACCAAATCTAGGTGCATGCGAGTGCAGGAGCAGTTCTAGGTGATTGCGAGTGGGGAGCAAATCTCGAATCAAGTGAGTGGGGGAGCAGTTCTGGTTGCTTGCAAGTGAGATAGCAGTTGTAAATGCATGCGGGTGGGGAAAAGATCTTGGTGCACCTGAGTGGTGGAGAAGTTCTAGGTGCTTGCGTGTGTCGGAGCAGTTTCAGATGCATGCGAAAGAGAGGGCAGTTCGAATTGCACGCGCAGGTGAGGTCGTTGCTCTAGATGCATGCTAGTGGAGGAGCAGTTCTTGGTACTTGAGAGTGGGGTAGCTGTTCTAGATGTATGTGGGTTGTGAGCAAATCTGGGTGCATGCAAGTGGGGGAGAAACTCTAGGTGTGATTGGGGAGCAATTCTAGAATCATGCGAGTGGGACAGCATTTCTGGGTGTTCGCGAGTAGGGGAGCAGGTCTATATGCAAGCGGGTGAGAACCGAATCTAGGGGCATGCGAGTGCAGGAGCAGCTCTAAGTGATTGCGAGTGGGGAGCAATTCTCGAATCATGCGAGTGGGGGAGCATTTCTGGGTAATCGTGAGTAGGTGAGCAGGTCTATATGTATGCGGGTGAGAACCAAATCTAGGTGCATGCGAGTACAGGAGCAGTTCTAGGTGATTGCGAGTGGGGAGCAATTCTCGAATCATGCGAGTGGGGGAGCATTTCTGGGTAATCGTGAGTAGATGAGCAGGTCTATATGCATGCTGCTGAGCACCAAATCTAGGTGCATACGGGTGTAGGAGAAATTCTAGGTGATTGCGAGGGGGGAGCAAGTCTCGAATCATGCGATTGGAGGAGCATTTCCAGGTGTTCACGAGTAGGGGAGCAGGTCTATATGCAGGCGGGTGAGAACCAAATCTAGGTGAGTTCGAGTGCAGGAGCAGTTCTAAGTGCTAGCGAGTGGGGAGCAATTTTAGAATCATGCGAGTGGGGGAACAGTTCTAGATGCATGCGGGTGAGGACCAAATCTAGGTGCATGCGAGTGCGGGAGCAGCTCTAGATGAATGCGGTTGGAGTGAAAAACTAGTGCATGCGAGTGGGTGAGCACTTCTAGGTGCATGCGAGTGGGGGATCATTTCTAGGTGCATGTGACTGAGGAAGCAGTTCTAAGTGCATGCGAGTGCGGGAGCAGCTCTAGATGAATGCGGTTGGAGTGAAAAACTAGTGCATGCGAGTGGGTGAGCACTTCTAGGTGCATGCGAGTGGGGGATCATTTCCAGGTGCATGCGGGTCGAGGATCATTTCTAGATACATGCGAGTGGGGGAGCTGATCCAGTTGCTTGCGAGTGGGGAAGCGATTCTAGGATCATGCGAGTGGGGAAGCATTTCTGGGTGCTCGCGAATGGGAGAGCAGTTCTAGGTGCATGCGAGTGGGGGAGCAGTTCTTGGTGCATGCGGGTGGGGGAGCGGTTTTTGGTGCATGCGGGAGGGGGGACCTAGGTGCATGCGAGTGGGGGAGAATTTCCTAAAACTTTAAAACAAAGAACAAATTTAATTGCATGCGAGTGGAGGAGCAGTTCTTGGTGCATGCGGGTGGGGGAGCAGTTCTTGGTGCATGCGGGAGGGGGGACCTAGGTGCATGCGAGTGGGGGAGAATTTCCTAAAACTTTAAAACAAAGAACAAATTTAATTGCATGCGAGTGGAGGAGCAGTTCTTGGTGCATGCGGGTGGGGGAGCAGTTCTTGGTGCATGCGGGAGGGGGACCTAGGTGGGGGAGAATTTCTCAAAATTTTAATCCAAAGAACAAATTGAATTGCATGCGAGTGGAGGAGCAGTTCTTGGTGCATGCGGGTGAGGGATTAGTTCTAGATGCATGCGGGTGGGGGAGACTTTCAAGAAATTGAATTTTAAAAAATGCCTAACGTTTTTGTCGTTTGGCTTTTACCGCCGATGAAATTAGCTGTTTTTAAGACCAATTATTCACATGGTCTTAATTCGCGCCCCTGCTTTAATTCGTCTTAATTCGCGCCCTTAACCGCTGTTGCGCCCCTGCTTTAGAACTACATGCCATTTTTTGGTTATTTTTCTGGGCTGGGTAATGTTGCCTCACCCGCAAGCAACGAACACGGATCATGGTGGGCCTTGCACTTCTGACCTTACGATCTTAAGATTGAGAGGCGGAGACGTAACCACTTCACCACCGCTCCCGCACGATTTTACGAAATGTTATGAGTAGAAAATTGCGTTTTTTGCAGATTTTTGCCCTAATAAAATTTAATAAGAAGCTCCATCCTGAAGCCGGTCAGGACGGAATTTTCTAAGCAACAAAAGAGAACGGTGTTACTGTTGCTCTTTATTTTCACCTGTTGTTGACTCGATGTGTATCACTGCCTGGCACCCTCTGCTCTTGGACCAGCTGTCCACATATTCCGCTTTTAGAGCACTAGCCTCTGCTGGCACTTCGTCAGCTATCACCAGAAACTTCCGACCTGCAAAAAACGATTGACTTTTTGTGCAGTACCGATTTTGTTTCTGCTGGCAATTGCGCTTGTCATTAAATGTAATTTATTAAGGTCCATTAATAAATTTTATTAGATTAAATTAATCATTTTTATTAATTTCTTATTAGATGTATTCGGAAGCCCAGTCATTTTTTTCGCAGAAATTGCGAACAAGTAAAAGAAACAGATTTGATTTTTGTGTTTGTAACCTGGAATCATGGAAGAGGTGGCTAGCATGGTTGTCAATTTGTCCAGACTGTCTGATTGTGAGTTGCTGGCCACAAACACCACAGCCCTGGCATCTATCAGAAGAGCCAAAAAGGACCCTTTTGCCGACCCAAACTGACCATCCACGTAGAAGTCGAGCTATTCGTGAAATAAAGCTTATGAATAATTTAAGTTAAAGTAGTAGAAGAAGAAGAAGAAGAAGGAACACTTGAATTACTATACAATAAAGAGCCGAGGCATCAATGTAGCAAAGTGTAACTAATATAATTGGTTATAAATTCATTGGTTACAAACAAAAACAAAACATCAGAAAACAAGCAATAAACAAAACAAAAAAAAACAAAATCGGTTACAGTTCGGAAATTGGTTGATTAAAGTATATGAAGTTTCGGATACTATAGAAAAATAAAGATTTAAGAATTAGGAACAAGCTGGTAATAAAACTTCACAAACAATTTTACAGATAGTCCAATTATAAAGCGTATATGGAGAGTATATACAGTTTCTCTTTCAAGCAAGGTGAGAAAAATTAAACTGAATTAAAACATATAGAACTAGCAAAAACGGAAATCACGCCACGTATTTGTATTAGTACATATAGGATTGTTTCTCAATTCACTCACGTAAAATTCTTTCAATTTTTTCTTGAATTATGTTTTCGATTTTTCTAAATTGCGCAAAATTATGGGCAGTGAATTCCATTTTTTAGAAGTCAAATGAAAAAATGATTTTTGTAGAGAAGCAGTCGAACAATGTTTGTCAAAAATATTTTGTTTCGTTCTATCGTTGAGCCTATAATTGGCAGTCGGTAGTCTCAGTGTAATTTCAAAAGCCTTCTTTTTGTTTGTAAGATATTGGTATAACTATGTTATACACTTTAACTCAATTCTTTTCTCGATTCCAATGAACGATTTGCTAATGCGAAGAAGGGAAGAAGATTTAAATTTCGATCTGAAATATGTTCTTTTTAGCGCCCAGTTCAACTGTTTCTCCAGAGATAGCATCGAAGTAGCATTAATTTGTTGTAAAAAAATTGCTGAATAATCTAAATGTGATAAAACAAGACAATGAAGCAAGGCAACTAATGATAATGTCGGCAGTTGTTGTCCAATTGTATCAATAGTTTTAATCCCTTGGGCCATTTTTTGGAGAATTGTTTTGATTTGAGCATGAAAAGATAAACTTGAATCAAAAATTATGCCTAAATATTTGCATTCTGATTTTTTGGCTACATAATGCCCACTAATTACTAGTTTATCAGTATCCACATTTTTGCTATCATTTTTTTGACAAAATGTTATAAATTCCGATTTAGATGCATTCAGATTCAATTGGTTCTCTGCAAAAAATTCCGTTAGATTATTGAGTGATTTTTGCAATCAATTCAAAGCATCCTTAGAAATTATAGAAGAGGAAAAAACCATACAGTCGTCAGCATATTGAACTAAAGTACAACCTTCATATAATCGCTTTTGTATGTCATTAACATATAAATTGAACAACAACGGACCAAGTACCGTTCCTTGTGGGACACCTCGTTTTATTTCAATCCAGTCTGAAAAAATTCCATTGACGTTTACTCTTTGAATACGTTTGCTTAGGAAGCTAGCAATTAAAGCAATTGCTCCATTTGAAAAACCGAGAGAAAGCATTTTTTCAATTAAAACTTCATGCGAAATAGAATCAAAAGCCTTGGACAGATCTAATAAAGCTGCATGTACGATTTTTTTTTGAATCTATTTGATTTCGAATACTTTCTGTCACATAAACAAGAGCATCTTGTGTTGAAATGTTTTTGCGAAATCCGAATTGAAATGGTGTCATTATTTGAAATTTGTCAAGATGTTCTGTTATTTGGGCATGTAAAATTTTTTCAAAAATTTTAGAAAAAGCACAAGTTATTGATATTGGCCGATAATTTTTTGCATCCATTGGGTCATCTTTTTTAAACAAAGGGGTTACGTTTGCTTTTTTCAGTTCGATCGGGAAAATGTTCTCCTCTAAGCAAGTATTTATGACAAAAGTTAAATGTGGAACTATAACTGATTGACCGTCAATGATTGCCCAAGCAGGTACGGTACAACGTCCGAGAGGTTTTCTAACATTGATTTTTCGAACTATAGCAAAGCATTGCTTCACTGTAATGTGTTGAAAATGAAAAGGTGCAGATTCAGAGGCAGATTTGTTGTAATTTGGAGGCTTTTTAGCGCCGAAAAATTCGCCTAAGTTTGAAAAAATATAATTTAAATGATTGGCAATTTTTTTGTCTTGGGTTATCATTTCACTGAAGGAATTTCGTAGAACTGTAATTCGATTGTTGCCAGAACATGTATCTCTAACATGGTTAATATATTTCCAATTTTGTTGGATAGTGCTGAGAAGTGAAAAACAATTTTTTGAATGATCGAGTTGTTTACTTCTAATCAATTGGCTCATTTGATTACGTAAAAACTGGTACTTTGACCATTTATCGCTTGTGCTTTGACTGCGATATGATCTGTGTGAATTCTGTTTCTTAGTCAACAATTGCTGACATTCTGAATCGAACCATTCCGTTTTCAACACGTTTTTTGGTTTAAAATTACGAACAAACTTTTTTTCGATAGGAGCATGTTGCTGTAGAGCACAAGAAATTAAATAAATCATCGTCGAGAACATGTTTTGTGCGTCTGTACCTTGATATAAGAGATACCAAGGAAGAGCGGAGAGTGAATTGCAAAATTCATTTTTCTGATAATTTTTCTTATTGAAAGTCGAAATTATCCTCGGTAAAATTTTGCCGCATTTTATATCCGTCAAAATAAATGAAGCAAAATGGTCGGTTTTATAAGGTGTATCAAAACAAAATTCAATGCCGTTTGTTTCATAGTCACTGATTATGTAGTCGATATGAGTTTTTGTTGAGGAACTAATTCTGGTCTCATCGTTTGGACAAAAAACCTTCAACCCATATGGAATAATTATAGAATCTAAATTTTCTTTTTCTTTGCTATCCAGATAATTTATGTTATAATCACCCAGAAGCGTAACTTTATTAGAAACTGAAAATGCATTATCTATGTTAAGCGTTAATTGTTCCAAAAAATCAATAAAGTTTGATCTGCTTGGGTTATAACACAAATTAACTAACATTTTTTCTTTACTCGAAATGTTAAATGTAGATTTGCACTCATCCCACACTGACTCATATTTTTCTTTATCAAATAAATTTAAATCAGGCCTCAATTTTGGAGCCAATTTGACTGGTATGTATAAAAAAACGCCACCGCCTTTCTTTTTTACCGCTGATTGCCCATCATATCTGAACATCGCATGCGTTCTAGGTTGGAAATTCCATAAATTGTCACTATCTTCTTTTTTAAGCCACGTTTCGGAAATTCCTATAATTGTATTTTCGCCCATATCATCAAGAAATTTTTTGAATTGCATCCGTTTTCTAATAAAACTTTGAAAATTCAAATGAACAAATTTAAGATTTGCACAATTTTTTGAGCAGATACCTTAGACTGTTTCAATGGTTTCAATAGGACCAGGGTTTTTTTCAACATCCCCACTTTGGGTCAGTAACAACGCGAAAAGGAAAAGATGAGTAAGTGTGGTAGCTCTCCGCTCATTTATCCCACATTTCGATGATAATATCTTTTCATGGCAGCTTAGATAGCCCCATTAAACAATAGTTTTTTCTTTAGTTTCCATCTGAGCCTTGGAAATTAGAAAAATTGCACAAAACAACCAGAATTTAATATTCAGCATAATAAGTTAAATAAATTAAATAATTGCCAAAGTTTGCACCAAGAAAAAATGCGAAAATAGTATTTCCTAAAAAATTTTGCACCGTTTTGGAAAAATTGTAACATTTCTGCCGCTTTTGGATCTAAATTTGATGATTGTTGGGTTTGCTTCATTCTGGGGCGGGTTGTAATCTCACATGTGTTTGCAATAATATCAGAACCTCTAAAAGAATCTCTAAAACTTTGCACCAAAATTTCAACACCCCCATCAGAAGGATGCAAACCATCCGAGCTAAGCGCATCGGTATTTTGACTAAAATTTTTGTTTATGTCTAAAATATCCAATTTTACTTCGCCCAAGTCTTTTACATTCCGTACTAAATTAAGAATTTGCTTGTTAAGCTTCTGTACATTTGGATTAAAATCTTTTCTAAAAGCGCCTAACGGAGTTACAGTACATAGTGAAATTGTTTCTGGGGAGAATTTATGATTTATGAGATAAATTAGTTTTTTTTAGCTACTCACGGCTTCCTTCGCGTCGAAATCACTTGAGAGGCAGTCATTTATTCCAATTAGCGTAGTTACATGTTCAAAAATGTCGCGATTTACTGTTTCTCACGCGTTCCAGCAATGCAGAAATTTTGTGCCCACCAAATCCTCTCGCCAACACATTTTCCGATATTTGTTCCCCATTGATTCTGTTAACAATTGAGTCTCCCAGTAATAGGCCAGAATATTATCCTTCTCGTGGTAAAAATAAGTGTTTTCGTTGCTGGTCAAATTTTTCTTCTTGAATATTGGTTGCTTGTATTTTGATTTCTTGGTTATTCTTGCTTTCTTGGTTATTTTCGCTTCGTTTGTTCTGATTTCTGCTCCGAGTTCAAATCTTGCTCCATTCATTTTCAAATTTGTTTTCTGTAATTTTCGAATTACCCGTGTTTTTAAAATTTTCTAGATCAATAAATTTGTTTCCTTTTTCTTCCTCTTTCGTTGATACAGTTAAGTTTTCGATAATTCGTTTAAAATAAGTAACATTTTCGACCAAGTCTTTATACAGCTCGTATTTCAATTCGTCGTTCAAATTTCGGAAAGTTTCGAGGTCAAACATGTTGGCGATTAAAGGCGAAATTAAAAATCAGACATTAAAATGAGCCGACTGATCGCTAGAAATTTAATTTGGTTGTCGTATTAAAAAAATTTAATTGTTTTAGTAATTCACAATGAAAGAAATAAACATAATAAATGTTTTAAAAAGTTAACAGAGATGTTTACCCTCTGATATAAATTTAGATACGGTCATTTTGTCATTTTGTTATTCAATTTCTGGGATTCAATTCTAAAACCACGGATCATGTTGGACCTCAGCCTACTAAAATTTCAAGTGAGAAGCGGTCTTTTCAGCCATTT